TAATGTGATTCTGGATGAAGTGCTAATTGTCTCTAGAGTTGAGTCTAGGAGTTATTTTTGTTTCGGGGTCAGCACTAAGTGTGGGCTTCTTGGAGCTGCTTTGGATTTGTTTTGTGAATTTTAAAGTGAATAACATTGTCTTCATTGGGTGATTTTAGGAATTGAATAAAGATCCAAAGTGAAGAAGTGTTGCACTTTGCCTCAGGCAAACCAATCATAGTCTCTCGCTCACTTTGTGCCTTATTTATTTAATCAATTACTTAATTTTGAAACAAACATAGAGAAGAAAGTTCTGTGCTAATAAAGGAAGAGCCCAGGCTAGCACAGTTTGAACCAAGTCGTTGTTAATAATTATTAGTGGCTATTCAGGTGGGTAGCAAGGTCTGCTCTTGGAGGGGTACAATCCCATAGGATTCCATTTCCTGTTTTTAAAATAGGGTATGCACATTGTTTCAAGTCCATATAATACCAGATTCATCGAGAAGAGTAATTTCCTTGTTTCAGTATTGCTCTAGATATTACTTTTTGCATACTGTCCTAGAAAAGTCTGTTGTTATTTTTTAGGGTGATCCAGCTTGAGACTATGACTCCTTGTTTTATTGGAGACTCTACAACTGTTTGAAAACTCATTTTATTAATGTGGAGCTAAATTTTCATCTGCAAATACTTGTATTTAAATGCCAAGTCTGTTTAATTGAAGAAAAGATGTTGAAATAGAGCTTCAATATAGATGAGTTGTTTGAAGTTGAGAAGACAATATATGGACCTTCTAATATGATTCTACTAGACTTTGTTGATAAGAGGTGTGTGTAAATTAAACTATTTAATTATATTCTTGAGGTCACTTCATTTTTTTTAATTATTAAAGGATGAAGTAAAAGTTGTGTTTTTGAAAGAAGAGTTTAAATTGTTTACTCCAGGGTCATATGATCCAGTGTTGTTGGAACATACTTGTACAGACACATAATCTTTATTTCATTCATTAATTTTATTTATTTTCTTACATGGTATCAAAACATCCACTTTTATTAATGGAAAAAAAAAAAAAAAAAAAAAAAAAAAATCTACCTCATAAGCTATACTTAAAATATATATTTTGATGTGACTGTTAGTTCAATCACCAATTGGTCTTTCTTAAATTTCCTTATAATTTTTCAAAACTATAGTACATGGAATATACAAATGTTGCTTTTTATTTATTCTAAAATTTATGAAATCGTCATTTAAAAATTCAATAATTTTTTAATTTTTTCTGTGCATGGTTCTTAACAGATTCTAAATCTGGGTCAAACACCGTTTTGAATTATAGTCCATCTCAAATTATCATTAATACTATGTGTCTTAACCAGCTTCAAACTTTAAAGAAATATAGAACTGAATCCCAAACATTTATCAGATATTTAAATAAACTTTTTAAATAGACTCCATTATTCAATTATGTGTAATTTTGATAATATATTTACACTCTTGGACCATTGGAAAATGATACTAAGAAAATCTATTTTATTAAGCTCTATGTTTATTAAACATCAATTTTTTATTTCATTTTATTTTATTTTAAAATTTTTGGATCTTTTTTGGATTTTTTTAATAAAAACTCTCAAAATTTTGATAACACAACCTTAAAAATATCATCTACTATTTTATAGAAACATAATATTAAAAATTCAAACCTAATTAGCAAAAAATAAATTATATTCAGTTAATGTAAGTAAAATAAATCAATCTTTAAAGTTGAAGTTTTATAAACAATCTTAAAGTCATACAGTTTCAATATATAGTTGGATTTTTATAAAATATAGAATTTTACAACTTTTTTTTAAAAAATAACATAGAAATAAATATATTATTGATAAAAGTTGTTAAAAATAAGTCTATGCACTTTTGATTGCATTTAGAATATATACAAAATTAAACCACTATAGAGAAACACTAAGTGGACATTTCTCTTTTACTATGTGGATACTCTTTTTTATTGCATGGACACCCTCTACGCCTCACCAAGCATGCATCATTGTTACAAATTTTTTAACAAGTTTAATAAAAAGATAAATAAATAAAAGAGAGTAAAAAGTATAGAAATAAAAAAGAAAAGAAAAAAGAAAAACAACAACAAAAATAAAAATTCATGAACATCAACAATACCAAAGCTAAAGAAAATAAATAAATAAAAGAGATATCTACATAGCAATTTTGCTAAGTAGACAATTTCTTTTTATCATTTGTTTTGTTTGCATTGAAAAACTTCATATATTTTGTTTTATGTGTCTATGTATGTTTTTTTTGTTTTTTTTTTTATTTTTATTTATTTTAGCCTCATTAGTGTCTAACTTTTTGAAAAACTTGTAACAATGGCATATTATTAGTGTGACATGGAGGATATCTATGCAATAAAAAAAAATGGTGTCCATATAGTGCTTTCCTTAATATATTAAAAATTCTTACATAAGTATTATTAAATTCATACTAAAATTATTTTATTCTATACAAAGTCTTAGTAAGATGCAACTATGTTTTTAGTAGTATCAAATAGATAAGAAAAACAAATTACCAATATAAAGTTGATAAATTGCTATTATTGTTGTTAATGACTTATATTAGTAACTTTGATTATTTTTATTATGATTTCTTTAATTTGGTTGGTATTTCAATTCAAGCTTTATAAATATATTTAAAGACAAAAATATGGTTCTATCTAGGTTCCAATTATTTTTTTGAAGAATAAAAAGGATCATGGAGATAGTTGGATTTATGATTTTATATGTGAGATTTTATTAAAATATATTTATGTTCTAATAGAAAAGATAAATTTGTAATCAAATATTGCAATAATTAATAATCTTAAGGATTTGATTTAGATGTATCTCATAATTAAAAAAATTGATAGTTTTGTAATAAGTAGCATCTACAAAATATAGATATTAATAAATTTTTGTATGATTAATTAGATGTGTTGAATTGGTAGTATTATAGATTTCTAAAAGATATATAGATACACAAAACTAACTTAAGTTTATATAAATATGGCATTAAATTCAGACACTACTAGAATCAATAAGATGGTCAATGGTCTATTAAAAAATATTTAATGACTCAAATATTTAAAGCTGGTTTAATTATGTTGATTGCATAGTTATATATTTGCTTGTGGTGGTTGTGTAAGCACAAAATTAATATGTATATAATATTTGTTGTAGACTCATGTAAGATACTTTAGAAAGGTTAATTGGTATTAAATAATTATTACTTTTTAATATCAAAAAAAATACTATTCAAATGTAAATCTAAACAATCTCAACTATAAATTTAAATAATTTCAACTATAAATTTAAACTATAGTAGTAAAGAAAAAATATTTTATGTTTTTTGGTTGTTGTTAGGAAATTTTACAAAAGACGTAAAAATAAACCTTTCTATAAGGATTAATTTTATAAAGTTTTTAATTTAATAAAAAATAAAATTTAATATTTAAATGGTACTAATATTTTAAATTTTTTATTGATATATGAACTATAAATTATAGTTGGAATTAAAATATATTCTTTAAAATATTATTATCAAATATTATTATCAAATATTATTATCAAATATTATTAGTCATGCTTAATATCTTAATTAATACTTTTATAATTAATATATATATATATATATTAATTAAAATATATCACTTTTTTAAGTCTATAAGTATATATACAATTTTCTTGCACATTTTTGTTTTGATATTACAAATATAATAATTTCTAACCACCATAATAAAGATAATTATTATCAATTTAATTTTAAATATTACATTTATTCATACAATTCAGTTTATTTATTTTTTAAAATTAAATTTATTTTGTTTAAAGTTTTTAAATCTTTCATTATTTATTTGTTTTAATTCTTGTAAATGACTATAGATAAACGATTCTTAAATAATTTGAGCAATATTTTGTAGAATTATTCTCTATTATTTTTAATTTTAAGTTTTACTGATATATACATATGTGTTTCTTATTTTAAATTTTAATTATTTCCTAATTATTTAAATCGGTATATAGATTTATTTTATATAGTTATTTCTCATGTTTTACCTTAAAAAGGTAATGAATGTTTCAAATGGACTATGAAACTTAAAAGTCATGAAAATTGTAAAAATGATTGAAGATAAAAAATTTAATAGAGTTTTCTTGTCTTTTATGAATTTTTTAAAAAATCGACCATAATTTCCTCTTCAATTAGAGTACTAGTTGGATATATTTTTATTTATTTATCATTTATATATATATATATATATATATATATAATATTACAAAATCATATGTATTTAATTTAATATTACAAAATCATATGTATTTAATTTAATATTTAGAAAATACTATCATTTGAAATTTAAAATAAACAATTGTTGCTTATTATTTTGTAGTAAATATTTTAAAATGAATGTTGTATGTATGTGTGTATATATATAGATATAGATATAATGGGTGTGCATATAGCAACTTGGAGTGTGCTTGTAGCATGAGCTATATATATGTATATGTGTATATATATATATATATATATATATATATAGTGTCCAAATAAAATTTGTGCTTATTTATTATAAATAATATTTCTATTAATTATTGATTCAATTGATACATCCATATAAAAACAACGAAAAGTATGCTTTAAGATCCATCTTTTTCCTCCAAAAACAAATAGTTGCTCCCTAAAATTTGTTTTAATTTGTTTTGGTAGTTTATGGAAAAACAGTACAAAATGGAAAAAATTGTTACTGTCATCACCGATGTAATTTTAGATGACTGCAAACACTGCGAAGTAATAAGACGTATATCATTTCAAACAGAAGTTGTACTTAAGTTCGCAACTTTTTACTTCGATTATTAAACTGATATTCTCACAAAATATTGGCATTGCTATCAAAAAGCATTTGTTACAAAGTTGAGAGAAATGACAACAGAATGAACAGAGGCACATTCCGTTGCAAGGATCCAAGTAATGTATACAACACATACTACACACAATTCCCATAGAATGGATATATTCAAAAATAGATTGAACCACAAATAACAGCCACAACTCTGGTACTGTCGGTGGTGGAAGTTTGTCACTGTGTAGAATAAGCGACTTGTGGAACGCAAGTGATTGATGGAAGAGTAAGGATTAGATATACTTCTGGTTTCGAAATGTACAGTCTCCAGTCCTAAATACTATACAGGAGTTGTATGAAGATCTGACTGATTGGCACTCTGGTTAATGCTAACAGATGCTATTGAGCATGGAGTTGTTCCAATTCCTCCACAAAACTTTTTAGACACTTTGCAGAAAGGCCATTGTCGCCAAAACTGCTTAGAAGCTTGTCCCTGAGATGGAGGACATTCTTCTTTGCAGCCTGACCCTCCTCTGAGCAAATCAGAAGCCGAACACCTTTATCAATAGAGTTTCTATCGACAAAGCTGTAAGGATCTCTGCGCAGTGCGAACGCTGCCCGGACCTCCTCCACAATCCACCTGTGGAGGAATAAAGATAAGCGTCAGATCTGAACCCCAACAAGTTCAACAAGCTTTATGACAAAAATCACGGCATGTATGTAATCACATTACCTTGTGTTTATCATTTGCTCTGCTTGAATTGGCCATGCAAGCATAGGGACACCAGCGCCGATGCTCTCTAATATGGAATTCCAACCACAGTGCGTCAAGAATCCCCCGGTGGAAGGGTGTTGCAGGATCTGCACCTGGGGTGCCCAGTGTGTAACAATAATGCCAGTTCCCTTTACCCTATCCTGAAAACCTGCACACGCACAACTCATTCAGATAGTGGAAAGGGGAGAAGTGATCTGGTTCTTTGTAGATGGGCTCCTGCAAATTAAGTTAATGAATGTTGACACAAACACTTGTACAACAATAGGATTCGAAGTGGGTGAAATACTTGTCTATAGGGTTCGTCAAAAACTACTCTGCAAAGAAGCACACGAGAGAAATTAGTCACCTGGAGGCAGAAACGAGTAAGCCTCAGAGTTTGCTGCAATCATGCTGGGATCTGAAGGCGGTCTCAAAATCCACACAAATCGTTGGCCACTTGCTTCCAGCCCCAGAGCCATTTCCACCAGCTGATTAGCGGTTAAAGTAGCGATGCTCCCAAAGGAAATGTATATGACGGAGGACGATGGTTGAGTATCAAGCCATTGTAAAATCGGATCCCTGCCTACACCAGAGCAGTTTGCATTGTTTTCTTGATTAGTCTCCTTGAAGAACACTGACTTGGGGATCGTAGGGCCAACTGGGATAATTCTCCGCAGCTGCAGAAAGCAGGGATAAGGTCAGAAAAAGACAATCTTGAGCTCCTTACTTGAATGCTAACCCATGATGATAGACGAAAGATCACAACAAACTGATAATAGCATGCTCACCTTTGAGCCCTCAGCACCGACATAATGCTCATTCAGGGCTTCGAATACAGAGGATTCAAGTTCATGAACCGAGTTCACAAGTATCCCCCGCACGTGGACATGGTAATCGGGATAGCTCGATAAGAGTACGTGCATAACATGTCTGGAATTCTGAGTGGCTCCTATAAATTCGAACGGATGCACCGGAGGAATGCAAGGAATTTCGACTGCTCTGAGATTGTCAGTGTCGTCTAGGTTGAGAGGAATGTGTCCATGAGCACGCAATACTGCTGTATGCATCATCACCGCAAGGCTGGTTGCAGTGGTTGTCCAAAATATATAGCTGCACAAGCACGTCGTACTATGATGGGCACAAGGAAGAACTGGTCGCTCAAAGAAAACGGCAAAAATTAGACCAAGACATGCGCGCACTTCAACATTAATATGATTGTTTGCGGGTAGGGTTGTCGGCTACCTGGGTAGGTTGAATTGATCAGCTAACTTCACCATCGAGCCCAGAAATAGGTCAAAAATGACACAGCGGGGAGGCCCCCATTCTAGAATATGTGGGTCCACTCCGTTTGATCCTTGCATCAAGCGCTCTAAGCATTCGGTGAAGGAATCAGACGTTCTTTCGGATATCGTGCTCGTCAGGAGTAGCGGGCTATCACTGGGTTTATATCCTTCCCCGTTAGATATAGCCAGCAGCCGAAGATTCTCGGGTTCCGAAGCCAACAATTTTCCCTCAGTGGCCTACAGGAACACATAACACGGTCGAATGGATAAGGTCGGACTAAACAATTTTGGCGGCGGACTGGCGGAACTGAAATGCTCCAGAAGGGAACCCTGAGGAGCACCATATACCTGCAGCAGAGAAATAACGTGCTCGATGCTGATGAAAGTGACTTTCACGCCGAGAGCTATTATTTTCTTTGCCATCAAAATGAATGGCACACAATGGCTGTGCATAGGGCACGGAAACAAGATCACATGTGGTGCAAGTGGACTAGTTTCTTTCGGTAAGGACCCCATGCTTCTCTGCGAAGAGCGAAAACGACCACAAAGATGTCAAAGCGGGAACCGTAATATGAAGAGATCTTTCACTTCAGAATTGTGGGGTATCTTACGATCGACTGCAGCAGCGAAAACATCAGCTGAGCCACCAGTTTGTGACGAGAGGCGTGGTCAAGCACAAAGCTTGGTATGGTTCGATACATCGATGGCAAGATGTCACAGACCGGCCGTTTCTTCGTTCTCAAACCCCTAGGAGGAAACAATACGAACCGCTGAAACAGGACAAAGTTGAAGGCAACCGCAAAACCTCAACATGAATAGAGGGTCGATACTCGTGAATCACCCCAAGCGGCGGCCATACCAACAAACGACTCGCCCCGTTGGAGTCATAAGCAACAGTCGAAAAGCTCAATGAGAGTGATCTGACAAACGCAGAGCAGTCAACTCACCTTGTTTGATCCAGCAAAACCCCTAGATTAATCTCATCCGCCACTCTGCCGGAGGTGCAGGAGCAAACAACCGCAACCACAATCTGTCACGCAGTGTGATCCTCACTTGTTGAGATCTTGGCCACCATTCACCTTCAATGTTGGGCATCAATGAGCAGCTTTGTCTACCAGACACACACACAAAGTTTGGAATCACGCAAAAAGTCGTGATCTCGAAGACAAGGTATCGCAATGTGCCAACTCAAAAGCATAAAGCACACTCAAGAACTATCAACATTCCCAGAAACCTGTAACGCCCAGCTGGAAAGAGAGACATTGCGACGCTGTGCTTGAAAATTTCTTTTAGAGTTCGTACCAATTAGATATCTGAGGAATCGTTGGAGTGATTCCGAAGCAAACTTGGTCCCACAGATGGTGCTGACACAGTGTTCAGTCAGCTGCCTCACACGGACGTCAGAGACTATTCGGCCTGACGAAATCTGCGACTGTCGGATTCTGACAAACAGTGCAACATGCTCACAGGAAGTGCGAAGAAGTGCAAGCAAATGCAAAGGAATCGTGGGAGAATCTTCTGATCATAAAAAATAGGTTGGTCAGTGACATTTGTGACAACGCCTCTGTGCATCGAAAATGGAATATTCGAGGTCAAACGGGCTCCAGCTCGCTGTAATTCAAACAAGGTTTACTGATTCGCCATGGTTACTTCAGCAAAAGACCATGTCGAAGATCGTACACCAGTCTGCTAGACGAGCAAGAGCCAATACCCACGACAACAGTCAGTCTTGCAGTTTGGCCATCTATTATTCAGATCGTCGCCATCACTCACATTCAGTAATCTGCATCGATGAGGATCTGTACCTCCGAGACACACACGGCGTTTGAAACCGCATGAGAAGATCACGGTCTCCACCAGTAGATGTCGCAGTCTAACTCAATAGTGACAGTTTTGAGTCGAAAATGAACTAAAAATTTGTCGAGGAACGATTACATGGACGAGGACATCCGTTACAGCTTGGACGGCAGAGGTGAGCACATTAATAACGTCTATGTTGTCTAGATCGATGACCCTTCTCACCATCGTTGAATACTACGGATGTGTGTGTTCAAACACGATCAAGCTGGATTTTTGGAGAATCGGAAATACTCAGTCTGCGGCGCATCCCGATCGGCATCCAAATGTGATCATCACATTGCGGGTAACAGTGAGGCCAAAATTTGCAATAGGACTGAAAGACATTACTCTCTCCTGCCTAGGATTACATTTACAGGTTGCGTGGACGTCCAGGACCCGGCAGACGGTAACAAAGAGAACTGAAAAAAGAATCAAAAGACAAACCTTAGGTTTGATTTTGACCAACTGTTTATCCTGCACAACTAATCACACACTCAATCCAAACGATAACTTCTGACTCTTAACACCCGAATAGATCAGTGCGCAAGAACCCGTAACTGACAAGGAGAAAGAGATTGGAGCAGTTGATCACACATGAAGCTCGAACAAAAACAAATCTCGCAGTTAAATTGCAGTAAACGAGAGAATTATGAGCCACCGATTGTATCAAGCTTTCATTCACACAATTCAACATCCTCCCGCAGCAAATAACCTCAGGATCGATACTGGCCGAGAGCTCGAAGACAGACAGAAACCTTTGCAACCGCAGGAAGAAAATCACAACAACCAACATTAACTCTACAGAAGCTCTTTGAGCATCGACACCTTGTCCGCATCAGCATAACCTTCATCCTGTTGAAACTGCAGACTCACCATGAACTCTCAATATTGATTCATTCAAGCAATAGAAAACCAACCTAACGCCCTCGCAAAGATCTCTCAACTTCAAACCCAAAAATAGACGACATGAATCTCTGTTTGAGTAAAGACAAACTTAGAGCACCGAAAAAGTGAGTCCAACGGATCATGGCTTGTACAGATGCCGCAAATCTACAGCTCAGCTTTAAATTTGAAGAAGTCCCACGTTTTCTCAGACCCCTTGGAAGAAAATCCATATTCCACATCAATGCACGGCAACACCGACAGGTTTCAACCCCAGACTGGCGAAGCAGAATCCTTTTGTCAACTTGTGAATGGGATTTTTTGATTTGGGAGGACACTGGGTTTGCAAAGGTGGCACCTTTTGACAGTTTGGCTTGTGAAAGAGGTTAGAATATGTTGGGTTGCACTTGGAAATGTAAATGGGTCTAGTAGGACATAAAGAATACATGTCATTTTAAAATAAAAATAAAAATAGTTTTTGTCAAATCCAAAAAATGTCAAGATACTTGAATCAAGTTTAGAATACAAGAAAGGCATTGATAACAATAAAAATGGTCATAGTCTTGCCTCCCTATGTATTAGCTACTAAGAAGGCCTTGTAGAAGTTTCTTAAGAACCACAAAACTTATAATTTAAGCATTAAGCTATAGATTCTTCCTAATATAGTTCTCTAAAAGTAAAAATTATACAAAATATATTTTAATAATCATGTATTTAATAGAATCTAAAGATCTAATCTATGTCTAAAAAAATTATTAAAGTTTTTTGATAAAAACATAATCTATTTGATATATTTTTACTTATTTCTATTATTTTTTAATTATCTAACTATTAAAGATATTACATAAAAAGAATATCATATTAAATACTAAAAATATTGAATGTTTCAAATCTTTATGTATATTTTAAAACTATAAAACTTTTATAATATTAAATACTACTTAAAAAATTCTAGTCTAGGTCTTGCAACTTAAAATCCAATCTATGTTGGCAAATATAATTAACTAAGACAAATTATTTTCTTCTTTGTTAAATATATTTTAAACTATTTAATTTTAAACTATAAAGAAATTTTTGGTCAAAATTTTCTTAATATAGCATATTCATATTTAAACTTAACTTTATAAAAGAACATAATTATATCTTTTAAAAATTCTTATTAAAAGAAATCAAAATCTTTAGTTTTGATATTATAAGACTAATAGATTTTATTAAAAAAATTATATTTTAATTTTGCTATTACCATTACATGGACTTTTTGTTTGATTTTAAAAATATTTTTTTATATAGTTTTTTTATTTTATTTTTTAATTGGTCTAATTAATAAATATGTGTATATATTTTATAATATCAAATTTAACTACTTAATTTAATTTAATTATATTTTTATAAATAAATATTTGAAGAATTTTTTATCTTTTGTAATTTTCATGTGGTACTTTTGTATATATTAAATAATTTAAGAGATATAATTTTGGATGTTTTATATCTTTTTCTTATATTACTTGGTCAATCTTTGAATATATTTAGTTTAATCTTAGGTTTCATGTTTAATTTTTATATAAATTTTTTATAATTCTTACATTTATATATTTTTGGTTATATTAATTCTTAGATTTACATCATTTTTGTTTAAACAAGTGAGTTGACTTCTTTCAATAATTGATTCTTATTTTTTCTTAGATTTATATTATGATTGCAAAGAATTTTTTAAAATATTCTTTAGTTAGATTTTTCTATTTGATTATATTATTTTTTTTTACTCAAATAATTTATCTTCTATTATAAATCTTATTTATTTTTATTACTATTAAATATATCTTAGAATTTATATTTTATAATTATTATTTGAAAATTAAAAAACTTAATTTTTACTTAGAATTACAATAAAAACCTTAATACTATGATACATTTTTTTAAATCCAACTTTATATTATTTAATAATAATTTGAAATAATTTTTTTCATAGGCACATTAATACAATAAATATTTGGATCTAAAAATAAGTTGAGAGTTTTTAAAATGTTCTTAGAATTATCTATTATTTGATATCCTATCACAATGCTATGTTATGTGAAAACTAACTTGTGAATGCAGTTGAAATTTGGTTGTGGAAGGTAAATTATATTTGCAACAAATAAAGAATTTAATAATCAAAATAAAAAATTTAAAAAAAGAATTAATTGAACCTTAAAAGAATCAATAAATAATTAAAAAAAAACACCAAAAATCATAAAGAACATTAAAAAAATTATTAATAAATTCTAAAGAAACTTTAATAAATTTAAAATAAATGTTAATAAAATTCTAAAAAACTATAATAATTTTCTAAATTTATTCTAATAAAATTTAATAAATCTTAGTAAAATCTTAAAGTTATCTTAGAATCCTATTTAAAATCCTAGTCAAAACCTAATAAATTATAATCAATCCTTTGGCAATGTTATAAGCTCAATAACTATTGATTAAACCATTGATCTTATTCATATACTTACACACATTGGAATCTAATTGAAAAAAAAAAAAAAAAAAAAAAATACATACATAAATTTAAAGAAAAATCCAACTTAATAATTGGAAGAAAAATCTCTTTGATTTCTTGAATATCGGTTGTCATCCTTCTCCAACCTTGATATTGATCTTTTAGCAGCAATAATTCCTTATTGAATAGTTCATTTTCACTCAAAATTGGCAAAATTATTGAAAACTAAGTTTTCAATCTATTTTCATAGATATATATATTTATTCCAATAATTACATATATAATTAGGTAGAAGTAAGTAAAAATAGATTTATTTTATAATATTTAAAAAAAAAAAAAAAAAAAAAAAAAAAAAACACACATTTTAGAAGCTTTATAGAAGTAACTTTGACTTTACATGTATTTATAGTTGATTAATAGGTTAAAAATTTGATCAACAAGTTAGCTATATGTCACATGTGTTGATAGCTTGTGGAACAAGCTAACTATGTGGTACACATATAAAAAACTTGTCTTATAAGTTAGGACATATGTCTTACAAAGTCAACATGTATTGGTAGTTACATAGAATATTGCTACATATTTCTTAGTTAGATAGTATATATAGAGACAAGAGTAAAGTCTTTTTTATTCTTTTTAATACTTTTTTAGTTTTTAGTCTTCTAGTATTTGGTAAGAGCCATTCTAGTTCAATATATTACCAACTTTGAATGACTTTCTAATCTTTTTAAGTGACACAAGAGTATATTGGATTTTCTTTCTTTAAAATTCATATCTTTTACAGTTTGACAAGAGTCCTAATTTATTGTTCTTATTTTGTTCTAGAAATGAATAGATTATTCGACTTTTATTATTGTATTCTTGAAGGTTGCAAACTATCCACCTTTAAACTAACTTATAGTTTTTTAACATTGTATTTTTTTCTTTAAAGAAGGTCAATTATTCCTCTTTCTAGAAATATTTACTTAATACTAAAGGTTGCAGATTACTCTCTTCTAATTTAATTTTTTGAATTTATTTGAATTATCTATAGAAAGAAATATTATGGATGCTACTCTTGGTAGAAGTGAGAATAGATTTATAACTATTATAAATCTTCACAAGCTTATCAACACTCTTAGAGTACAAATTTTACATATTTCTAATATAAATCATGGAGGTACTATTTCTACTTCCATGAAAGAAATCAACAATGAAGTTTAAAGTCTACACTAAGAAATTATGCAATGAAGAGAAGCAAGTAGATTAAGTTTATAACTGAATTTGAAGAGTCTTGCTATTGCAAATATAAGAGAGACAAGAATAAGTATATTAGAAAAGTGTGATGGAATAAAAAAAATGTTTTGAGGGTTTTTACAACAAATAAAGTTCTATTTAAGGTTGCATCTTTTTCAATATTCAAATGGATTTATTCAAGTTGGATTCATAGAAGTAATTTTCTATGAGAGTACCATTTTTTTGTTTACACATTTGATGAAAAAATATTCACAATTATTCTATATTTTGAATTCATTCTTGAAAGTATTTATGATTATATTTGGAAAAAGTGATTACAAAAAGGATAGGAAAGACCAAGCTAAACTTTTTTTGATAAACATTATGTTTAACTACTACATATGCTGCTAAATGCCAAAATCTTACTTGTGACAAGAATTAAAATGATAAAGTTCTTATCAATCAATTTTAATATGGATTAAAAAATAATATCAAAGATTTATTATTGACAATATTGAGAATAGATTTATTGTAGCAATTTATTACTTAAGCCATTGCATGCAACAATCAATTCTTTGAAAGATGTCAAGAACAAAGATAAGGTTGGAGATGTACAAATTAAGCCATGAAAATACCTTCTGGTTTTTGGAAGCTTATTTGTTTAGGCCAAAGCCTATAAAAATTGATATGGTATGATTTAAATTTATTTTTGAGCAAAAAAAGACTTTTTATTGTCAAGAAGATTTGTGCCTATATTGTGGAGAATCCAAGTATACTGCTTAATATTATTCAAAGAAACAATGCATTCACAAAATAAGGAGTATGGTTGCCAAAGAGGACAATGAATTGAAAAATAAGTTTTTTCAATTACAATAAGAACTATGTGGTTGAAATCTTATATAATATCTAATAAAAGTATTATTCTTTCTTCAAATATTTCATATTATTTCATAATAGAAATTTGTTCAAAACCAAAAAATTATAAAGCCTTAGCCTTGTTAGATTCAAGAGCTTTAGCATATTTTATAAATGAAGTCTTTGTCATAAAACAAGATCTATCTTTAATTTAAAAAATAAAACCTATAAATATAAAATAATAGATAGTTATTCATTTTTTTTGGAAATATTATATATAAAAGTTGTAATACAATATAGATAAGATAATTATATATATAGTTAGAACTATGGAAATTTTTAGAATTGGAGTTAAATTAGTGGATTAAGTAGAATCTATTAAAGAATATTCTAAAAAGAACTTAAGACGATTATTTAAATGGGACCTACCATGGAACTTTTTAGAAAAGACTTAAGGTGGTTATCTAGGTAGAATCTACTATGGAACCTTTTAAAAAAGAAATTTAAGGTGATTA